TAATTCTATTATGCCGGGAATAAATTGTTACTTAGTTAAAATGTTCTTGAAATAGGATTGTACTTCCACAGAGAACTTCCTCCTTTATATTTCTCCATATGATTCTCCAGCATAAGACATGACAGAAGACACAAATCAGGTTTGCAGAATGTGTCCAGGGGCAGTAATCCTGCATAAAATACCAGTAATGGAATCACTATTTCCACTGCCTGTTCAAAGTATATATCCGCATTTCCCTATTTAAAATAAACCTGAAATTAGACATCTTTGACATATGTTTTTTTGTTGTTATTTTAACTGAGAGGACAAAATTTGTTTAGATAGGTTTCTTGGAAACAGAAGAAGTGTATGGGTCATGGTAGTTCTCTTCCCATTTCATCATCTGTAGTTGGGAATGAGGCCAATAGCTAAAAATACTTCCATAAAAATAAATGTTTTACAAATAGATACTAACAAACTCTCAGCACTTCTATGCCAATATTCTACCCAAAGTAATATCATTTTTCATTTTGATTCCATAATTGGCCACTTCAGAACAACACAAAACTCTCATGGAAAGAAAACAGCAACCGTACACCTGTGTGCAAAATTTGCAGGACAGATTTTAAGGTGGCCTGAAGATACTCCCTTGGTGGACAGCCATTCCCTGAGCCTGGTTAACATTTGAGAGACACTTCCACTGCAGTTACATTTACAACACACATTATTATATACACCAGGGTATAATCCAGTTTATCTACATATCTACTAATTTATGCTTGTTTCATCAACCTTGCCTGGGTGCTTTCATTCTAAACATAAGAGGCTTCTTTTGCCATATCACTATCACAAGGAACCACCAAAGAAAACCAAAATTGATCTAAACTCACTATCATTTAGATAATCAAAGAAGAGATCCCTAGTTCCCCACTTGGTTCTGAATAAAGGTCTAAGTAAACTATGTGGTGTTTTTAGATTCCTCTGTAAATTCTAGAAGTTATACATTAATACCTTTCAAGGCTCTAGGATTCCTTCTTTAAACTTCTGCACCACTTAAGGGTTTTTTAGAAAATGTATTTGGGCTTTAAAAAGGAAAATACAATACACTGCAAAGGAATATAGTAAAAAAACCCTGAAAAATGCATTTTTTTTTCCACAAAAATATCTTTCTCTGCCCTCTGTATTTTTTTAAGGTCTTGTACTTTTTCCTCACATAAATGAGAGCAGCATAAGAAATTAATCTCTCCAATCCTGTTACACTCAGAAATACAAAAAAATACAAACAAGCGGCATCAACTCATCTGAATTTTATGGAAGCCACTGGCCTCTCCCTATAAAGGCAGCAGTCCATAAAATACAAATAGAATCAGTGAAATAGATTAGAAAAGCAAACCATAGATTACAGACACCATATACAGATAAATTATCAAGAAAACATAGCAGTTAGAATTTTGGTCATCCAAGTTTTGTCATATACCCAGTCCTTCATTCTTTTGTCCCATTAACCTGAGCATTGCTCCTCAAAGCCAATACACAAGTGGTTGTTTAAAACTGAGATTATGAAGTGCTGCTGGTAATTTCCACAGAAAGGTGAATTGTTGTAACAATATGGGATATTATGCAAGCATCTTGTTTCTTCGTGGAAGGCAAGAAAAAGTGGCCCCCCTTCTTGTTTATGAATGTGTTTCATATACTGACCTGCAGGTAACTCTCCTTAACTAAAGTTGTAAAGATATCTTGAAACAGCTGATGCTTGGGATGCTTGCTAAAATTTCTCTCATTCTTGTAGGTCATGCTGATAAGGAAGAAGAAAAGAAAAATGGTGAATTGCAAATTAGCTTGCCACAAGACAGTTTTACACTGCTACAATTTAACATTAGCAGCAAAAACTAAGAAATGTCATATCAGCATTTACCATAGAATAACATGATTTCAGATTGCCAGCCATTAACAGTCTGTCTCATGCATAATTTGGGACTATCAGAATGGTATAACTTTTCCAAATAAAGCAATTATCACTATTTAAAATGAGTTTATTAACTCTCACCAGTATACTCTGTTGAATGGGAAAATTTGAAACTTACAAAGGCAGGAACAAACAGTAAGGTTTAAAAAATTAAAAATATGTCATTCTCATCTCAAATACTGGATATTAACATGAAAAGTGCAAGTAACAGACATATGTAAAAATACAAATGCCTTCAACACCTCAACCAAGTGATACCCTTAAATACATAAAGATGTTCAGAGATACAAGAGTGTCATCATCAGCTTTTTTAAAATTATTTTTACCTAAATTTTTCAAGCTCAACAGCTTCTGTTGATTCTTGCCATTGACCACTGGACTTTTGTTAATTGCTTTTGACATTTTGCCAAGTTCTTGTCACACTGGTTTGACCACTTTCAATATATATAAGCTGGAACGAAGGATGGAAGGGATAGTAGTCATGAGGCAAGCACTACATTTTAAGTTTTATGAGAATATTATCAGGCAAAAGTACCTTTTCTCAAGTTCTGACTTGAACTTTGGACATTAAACTTGCCATTATGGAATACACACACCCCCTCTGCAAAAGAACACAGATGTGGTAGAAAACTGATGCAAAGCAAGACTGGAAAACAAGTACAGAGAGGTAAGAAAAAGGTGAAAAATGGTGTCTTTTAAAATTCATGATAGCAAGCCTGACAAAATTTGCAACACATGCTCAGTATCTATGCTTCTTACCTGTCCCAGTTCCATAATTGCATAGTCTTCACATTCTTTTTAGGTTGTGCAACTCACATGTTTCAGCTTTCTGCTCAGAAGTAATTCCAGGCCTCTAACCAGGTAGAAAGTACATAACTCCTACCTCACATGGATGAATCCTTTAGTCATTTTGTCATATCTCTTTACAGCATTGAAAGGGAGAAAATGTTCTGTGATTCCAAAGACTCACACCCATCATCATGTGTTGGTTTTCTTTACTTCAAATGGCAAATACAAGCTTCACTAAGTGAGTTGAGGTGAAGAAGATTTGACTTTCTCCTGTAAGTTGGTATTTATGCCATGGATATTTTTAGCTCAAGTGTTATTCTTCAAAGACAAATTGTTTATGGTTAAAATGCTGATCTTACTTTATATTCTTTACCACTCTCCCCCATGCTGTTACTCACACATCTTTAAGCCTACCTTCATGTGACACTGTGAAAGGGCACAGAGGAAAACAAATCTGCTAGGCTACTTTACTATATGCTACCATAGCTGGATAAAATCTGCTCAAGATGGAAAATAAAGCAATTTTTTCCTGTTAAAATAAAAAAAATATGATATAGTAGAATGGGAAGAGGATTGGTTTTACCCATTCAAAATGTGATTTGTCCCACATAGAAGGTCTAACATTGCCAAGAAAAAAAAGAGACAAGAAGAAAGACATCCACTACTCAAGATTTTGCTAACATGTTTTAATCATTACAGAATGCAATGTTCTAAGCATATGCCAGAATCCATAATCACCATTAATCATAAATCTAAAGCACATTTAACAACAGTTATTGAAAAATACCTCTTGGTTCTTTGACTGAACACTTAAGAGAGACTGAAGGCTTTTTAGATCGGAATAATCCCTAGGAAAAAAAACACAACAGTGTATGTTAATAGTTACATTAAAGTATTTCCATAAGTGTAAAGAAGGTCAACAAGCAACAAAGCTACGGACAGAAAATAAAGTTTTCTAGCGTTGCCTGGTGTCCACATGTTGCACACAGAAGAATTTACAGCTTCTCCATCATGCTTTAAATCAACAAAGGTGTAAATAAACTTTGTGACCAGAGTAACAGTTGTCATGTTTATACTGCATTTCAAATTGAAGCATTCTGCTTTGGCAGCCAGTGCAAATTCCACATGAGTCCTGCTGAAGTTCAAAGTAAAACGTCAGATATTATACCTCCTAGAAATCCCAGGAGGCTTCTTGTCTGTTGCTTTTTCTGTGCTCCTCAGCTTTTTGTCCTGATCAGGCATTGTGTATCACTATTATTATCATTATGGGGCTAAAAAATAATTTCCTTAAAAACAAAGTAGATAGAAAGAATTGTATCACTGCAGCAAGAGGAACGCATTTACTTAGAGAACCAACTGTTACTGCTTTTAGGGAAAAAAACCCAGCTTTGCCATTTTCTCAGCATGAAACCTTGGGCATTATATCAGGATATCCTCTGAAATTCCAGATATTAATAAGAAAACTATTAACCCAACATACAGAAACCTTGGTTTTACAACACATGTGTAGACAATACTGTCTTGCTCTTTCAAGTATTTTTTATTAGGATTTTTCCTCATCTTTCATCTTCTTGCCATTATTCCTCTCTGTGAATTGGCTGGTTATGTTACAGCAATGCTTACAGGCCAATATCAAGGTTGTTAACAACAAGCTGTTGTCCAGACAACAGAGAATATAATATTTATATCATCCAAATAAACAAGTCAAAGGAAGGGTAGAAAAAGGAGGAATCTGACAAAAAAAAATTAGACACAGTGAGCTGAGAAAGGTGATTCTCTCTACTCCACTCTTCTGAGATCTGAGACCCCACCAAGATTACTGCATCCAGCTCTGGGGTCCCCATCAAAAGGACAACAGGGACCTGTGGGAATGAGTCCAGAGGAGGGCAACAAAGAGGATCAGAGGGCTGGAGCAACTTCTCTCTGCTGAGAGAAGCTGAGAGAGGTACGGTTGTTCGGCCTGGAGAAAAGAAGGCTCCAGGGGGATATCAAGCAGCAATCCTGTAACTAAAAGGGCCTACAAAAGAGTTGTACAGGGACTTTTACATCAGCCTGTGGTGTTAGGACAAGGGATGGTGACTTCATGTTAAAAGAATTGAGGTTTTGATTACTTATTAGAAGGAAATTCTTTATTGTGAAGGTGATAAGGCAGTGGAACAGGTTGCCCAAAGAAGTTGTGGACACCCCATCCATGGAAGTGTTGAAGGTCAGGTTGGATGGGGCTGTGATCAGCTTAGTATATCATGACAGGTGCCTCTGACATGGCTTGGAACTTGATGATCTTAAGGTTCCTTCAACACAAACCATTCTATCACACAGTCTGACAAAGAACAACAAAAAATTTCATCAGTTTAAAATCTAGGTCTTCTGAATGCCTTATACCAAACCTACCTGCTGTCCTTGCAGTGGGACACACAGCTTCTTTCCACGGATGAGCAGAACTATACAGCATGGCCTCATCAGGGACATTACCATACATCAAATTCCTGCAGAAAAACATTCAGTCTATAGGTCTGACCTCCCACAAAAGCCCTGAGCTAGTCATTTGCACAGTACACAGCACCTGTTCACTGAAAATCTTCTGAAGCCCTTGAAGCATACAGAAAGACCTGGAAAGAGGATATTCAACAGGAATCTCTTGCTGCAACAAAAGCAGCTGTACTGATGCAGATCCTCCTCTGCGTGAAAAAAAGAGAAGGGTCAGGCACAGGCTGGGGCTGTCGAATTATCCTACAGCTGTAGCATATTGGAGAGCACTTTCAATTTAAAAACTAAGGATATAATACCACTGCCTGATCCTTTCTACCTAATTTACTGTTCACTGGACTGTTTGGATGTTTCTTTTGGTGTGTCTTTAACAGAATTTTCTGTAACGAAACTGATGGCCTCCTTTTCTTGCTGTGCAGTGTAAAATTTCTCTGCTACCGATTTTTATTTCTCCTCTTCATAAAGGCAAAGAAGAAGAAGAAGGAAACTGGTCATGAAACAAAAGCATTGAAAATTACCAGAAGTTGCTCCTTTCCAAATGAACATCAGAGTCATTTTTCCAGTTATACAATCTCACATCATTTTTCCAGTTATACAATCACAGAACTACCCAAAATGCAACTGTTGACAGTATGAACTCGTGCACTCTATTAAATCCCTCTCGGAAGTGGCCTGTAAGCCCAGTTCATCCATGTCTAGTCTTTTAAACAAACCTTTATCCTACCACAGGGAATTATTGATCTGCATCCACAAGAAACTTCTCTGCTCTCTTCCATGCATCTGCTCAAGATTATTAAAAAACAGCTCAGAAAACTTCTGTGGCACCAGTTATTACCAGGGAAGAAATATAAACAGGATTTGTTCTACCACTCGGCAGACAAAACTACTGAGTTCAGATTAAACTGATGCAGTTTGCTCAAAGCATTTATTTCCTTTGCTTCAAGAGCATTAAAAGTTAAGAGAAGCCACGTACATTGCTAAGCACATTAAGAATTCTCGGGAGTAAAAATTGCCATGTATTGTTTCAGTGATATTCTTATATCTTCTCCCCAACCCCAACCTTGTGGGATAGTACTGAGGCATGACATGTTGCAATAAGCACCTCACGTCTGCACAGTAGGAAATACTGTGAAACTCACAAATTGTCTACTTGACCATGAGTATGTGTGCATAAAGAACAGATTCCAACGAATTAAACACCAGCCAAACCACACACAAATAACTTGTCCATGAGCAAACAGAGTGAAGCGTTAAAGTTTTCAGCATCCTGTGAAATTCTTGGGTTAAATCTCCAAACCAGAAACAGCAGGATTCCCAGTATGGCTACGATTTCCACAACTGTTAGGTCTTTGTGATTATTTAGAACATTTTACAACTGTCAATCAACCTTGCTTTAGGGCTGCCATTCCAATTCTTTTGCTGTTTGCTCTACCTTGGTAAAGATGAAACAGAGGAATAGATGACAAATATTTTAAAGGTTTGTTGCCATTACAGATCTAAAAGTTCCTATACATAATCAAACCTGATAAACATAAAGCCAAACTCCCTTCACTGCTGCTGAGAATGAAGGGACACTGGTCACTCAAGGATACAGCCCTCACCCAGCTCTAAGGACCCACCCTGAGGTTACCTCTCTCTTTCCTAGAGGCCAAGTCACCACAGGTCAAGAAGCCCTTCAAGAAAGGGGCCAACTCTGGTCACAAACTGACCTTGCACTGACCTCTTTAGTCTGTTAACCCAATATAATCTCAGATGCACAGCTCACTGGATTGGGAAACCTGATTCATGTTACAAATAATCTCTCCTACTTTAGCCCTGATTATCTTGTCTCCAAAGTACTTCTACTGTACAAGGGCAGGGACAACATGCAGAAAGGAGGATTTATCCATGCAGCTTAGAGTGTTATGCCCTTCACCTAACTTCAGAGATTAGACTAAATAATTAACAGTCAGCTGCCAGTGAAAATGGCTTTCCTCATTCCTTCCCTTCCCCTTTGGCTAGCAATTCTTCTCTACCTGTTCAGCGAATCTGACCCAAACCTGAGCCAGTTTAGAGAGCTAAACACACAGAAAAAATAGACTTCCCTTTGCATTGTTACTTTCCTATCAATTTAGCTCGGTTACAGT